GATAGATAGATAGATAGATAGATAGATAGATAGATAGATAGATAGATAGATAAGGTAGGAAGGTAGAACCAAAAGGAAAAATACCTCCTTTCAGTACTATCATCATTTTATTTAACATCAGGAAGTGAAAAGTAATGAATCAACTAATCAACACTTCTTAGAAGGGAATGGAGGCCAAATCAGCCCATGCTGTAGGAAGATACATTATTGCTTAGGAATATGCTAGGACCCTAAATGAAGATATGTTACTCAGGTCTTTCACATAATACTTGTTGTAGTCCAAATCAGACTTCTTTAAAAGAAATGAGATATTTATGTCTAATCTTAAATGTTTTTAAAGAGACTCCTTCAACTTGAAAGGTCTAGAGATGCAAGGTGCTATGATTTTCTACTTTGTTTGCAAAAACGTTTTTGTTAATAATGTTACAGGGAACAGGTTGAAACAACTTACCTTCTTAGACATCTCCACAGTAAAGTGAAATCATGAGAAATATGATGGGTAAATATGTCAAAAAACAAAATAACTTCTCTGTCACTGTACAGATAAGTGGGTTTTGTTTGTTTTTAAGTGAGGCAGTGTAAATCATTGATATGTATGAAAACAAACAACACAAGGAATTTTTCATCTGTCACTGTTCCTTTTCAGGAAGAAAAACCAGTTATCCATTGAGGTTTTGGGGTGCCCCAAATGGTCTACTTTGTTACTTGAAGTTAACTTTTTATTTCTTTTATTGAGTACTCAAATTATTTCCTTTATTGTTTATACAGAGACAGTGACAGCAGTTAGAAAAGATGCATCCACATCTCCTATGGCAACAAGAAGCCCTAAGGACCCCATGACCCCAGCCTCATCATCATCCCAGCACACCACCTCACGGTGAGCCTGGGAGACCCTTGACTTAGTGTTCTCCTTGGGAGAGTGTTTATAAGACTGAAGAAAATTGGACAGTTTTAGTGCTCTTACTTTAGACGCACCAATTCTGAAGCTATTGGTTTGCCAAATTCATTGCAGAATTCTTTTCTCCATATTTGCACTTTCTGAAATGATCATGATAGTTGGCAAGGATTTCCATAGAAACCCAAAGTATCCTGTCCACAGAAACCGCTTAGCAGCAGGTCCTTCTCAGCTGATCATGGAAAGTAATATATTTGGTCTGCAACTTATAGACGAAGAATGCGCTTTTCTTTCCTGGCCATCAAGACTCAAATAATCACATAGAAACTGTATTAATTACAACACTGTTTTGCTAATGGCTCAGGCATATTTCTAGCTATCTCTTACATCTTAAATTCAACTATTTCTATCAGTCTATGTATTGCCACGTGGCCATGGCGTTACCTCATTTTCTACATGTCTTGTTTCCTTGGTGGCTGGCTAGTGACTGACTCTGCTTTTCTTCTGCCCAGAATTCTCCTAACCTGGTGGTTACCCCACCTGTACTTATTGTCTGACTACTGGCCAATCAACATTTTATTAAACCGATATGAGTGACAAATCTTTACAGTGTACAAGCGCATTCTCCCACAGCAACAACTTAAAGTGATTAAATTCTACAAATCACAGTGGATTTGTGGTTTGCTAAAGGTATATTTATGTTCATTTATACCAGAGACTTTAGAAGAGCTAATCATTTGATCAGCCATTTCTGTAGTTAGAGAATGAAATATATTATTTAAAACTTCTTACATCAATATAGCAACTCACATATTAACATATTATACAAGTATTTTTTTATATATATATACACACACACACACATACACACATATGTGCATTAGTTTCAAAAGGACTTTGTTTATGTTTCCTTGGGGATAAGGTTAGTTTGGGGCACTTAAATACCTCATATTATCACATGAATATATATTTTAAGATTTAATTTGTAGTTTAATTGCCTAAATTGTTAATATCAAGGCTGTTGATTTCAAAGGTATACTCTAAAATATATTTTTTGGTTTATGGTTTGAGAAATGAGTTTTAACTCTTCGTTGAAAAGCAGTATTTGTTCTAACTGTGGCTCTTACTGGCATGCAATGAATTCTGAAGGCAGAAAGATAAACACACAAAAAAAAACCTGGAAAGTGAATGCTGCAGAGGATAGTAAGTTAGGCTGCTGTCTTGAGTACTGTGTACCCAGAACTGTGCCAAGCTCCTTGACTTGTAATCTAATTTAGTTTTCACACCCTGTAGAGCTAGGACTACACTTATCCCATTTTAAAATTGGGAAACCATGAGTTAGAGAGATTGAGTACATTTTCTAAGACCTTCCTTATTTTGTTTTTTTTTTAACTTATTTATTAAAAATTTCCACCATCTCCTCCCCACCTTTCTTCTCCCTCCCCTCCCTCTCCAGTCCTAAGAGCAGTCAGGGTTCCCTGCCCTGTGGGAAGTCCAAGGTCCTCCCCCCTCCATCCAGGTCTAGGAAGGTGAGCATTCAAACAAACCAGGCTCTCACAAAACCAGTCCATACAGTAGAATCAAAACAGTAGAATCAAAACCCAGTGCCATTGTCCTTGGCTTCTCAGTCAGTCTTCATTGACAGCCACTTACAGAGAGTCTGGTTTGATCACATGCTCCATCAGTCCCAGTCCAGCTGGCCTTCGTGAGCTCCCATTAGATCAGTCCCACTGTCTCAGTGGGTGGGTGCACCCTTCGCGGTCCTGACTTCCTTGCTCATGTTCTCCCTCCTTCTGCTCCTCATTTGGACCTTGGGAGCTCAGTCTAGTGCTCCAATGTTGGTCTCTGTCTCTATCTCCATCCATCGCCAGGTGAAGGTTCTATGGTGATATGCAAGATATTCATCAGTGTGGCTATGGGAGAAGGCCAGTTCAGGCACCCTCTCCTCTGCTGCCCAAGGAACAGTCTGGGGACCTCTCCTTGGATCTGGGAACCCCTCTAGAATCAAGTCTCTTGCAAACCCTAAAATGGCTCCCTTAATTAAGATATTTACTTCCCTGCTCCCATATCCACTCTTCCTTCATCCCACCCATCCCATTCCCCCAAGCTCTCCCGAATTCTCCCCTTTTCCCTTCTCTCTACCCATCTCCCCTTAGACCCCACCACCCCACCATCCCACCCTCCATGCACCCAACTTTTGCCTGGAAATCTTGTCTACTTCCAATATCCAGGAGGGTAACATTATGATTTTCTTTGGGTTCACCTTCTTATTTAGCGTCTCTAGGATCACTAATTATAGGCTCAATGTCCTTTAATTATGGCTAGAATCCACTTATGAGTGAGTACATATCACATTCCTCTTTTTGGGTCTGGGTTACCTCACTCAATAAAGCATTTTCTATTTCCACCCATTTGCATGCAAAATTCAAGATATCATTGTTTTTTACCGCGGAGTAAAACTCCAATGTCTATATGTTTCACACCTTCTTTAACCATTTTTCTATTGAGGGGCACCTAGGTTGTTTCCAGGTTCTGGCTATTACAAATAGTGCTGCTATGAACACAGTTGAACAAATGCTTTTGTAGTATGATTGGACATCTCTTGGGTATATTCCCAAGAGTGGAATTGCTGAGTCCTGAGGTAGGTTGACTCCCAGTTTCCTGAGAAACCGCCACACTGATTTCCAAAGTGGCTGCACAAGTTTGCATTCCCACCAACAATGGATGAGTGTTCCCCTCACTCCACATCCTCTCCAGCTTAGGCCGTCATTGGTGTTTTTGAGTTTAGCTGTTCTGACAGGTGTAAGATGGTATCTCAAAGTTGTTTTGATTTGCATTTCCCTGATTGCTAAGGAGGTTGAGCATGACCTTAAGTGTCTTTTGGTCATTTGAATTTCTTCTGTTGAGAATTCTCTTTTCAGTTCAGTACCCCATTTTTAATTGGGTCAATTAGAGTTTTAGTGTATAGCTTCTTGAGTTCTTTATATATTTTGGAGATCAGACCTTTTTCTGATGAGGGATTGGTAACGATCTTCTCCCAATCAGTAGGCTGCCTTTTTGTCTTAATGACAGTGTCCTTTGCTTTACAGAAGTTTCTCAGTTTCAGGAGGTCCCATTTATTCGTTGTTGCTCTTATTGTCTGTGCTACTGGAGTTCTACCTAGGAAGTGGTCTCCTGTGCCCATGTGTTGTAGACTACTTCCCACTTTCTCTTCTATCAGGTTCAATGTGGTCAGATTAATATTGAGGTCTTCAATCCATTTGGACTTGAGTTTTATGCATGGTGATAGATATGGATCTATTTTCATTCTTCTACAGGTTGACATCCAGTTATGCCATCACCATTTGTTAAAGATGCTTTCTTTCTTCCATTGTATAATTTTTGCTCCTTTGTCGAAAATCAGGTGTTCATCGATTTGTGGATTAATATCTGGGTCTTCGATTCAATTCCATTGGTCAACATCTCTGCTTTTGTGCCAATATCAAGAAGAGACACCATGACCCAGTAACTCTTATAAAAAAAACATTTAATTAGAGTGGCTCACTTACAGTTTCAGAGGTTCAATCCATTATCATCATGACAGGGAGTATGGGGGCATACATGCAGATGTGATGCTGGAACTGAGAGTGCTACATCTTGTATGGAACAGGAAGTCAACTAACATCTCCTGAGAAAAGCTTGAGCAAAAGAGACTTCAAAGCTCACCCCTACAGTGATACACTTCCTCCAACACGGGCACACCTTCTAATAACGCTGCTCCCTTTGGAGACCACTTTCTTTCAAACAGTCACAGACCTTTAGCTAATAAAAGACTCCAATTTTTCAATATTTCAGACTCCAAAGCATGTAATGGCCAACATCACCAGTCCCCCAGCCCACTGCAAGGGTGACATAATCACAGTAATTAGTCAGTTTGTCCATTTTTCTCGGCTGACCCTCTCTCTTTTAGTGCTGGAATTTGTGGGATTTTCTAAGAAAACAAATGAGTTATGATTCTGAAGAGTGGAGAGAGCTCCCTTTGTTCTCTACCACTTCACATTGTGCTTGGAAGCTTGTACTCAGAAGCTTTCCATCCAACCCATATGGACTGGCCCAGCTGGGTTAGAAATGGCTAATAGACTAGATTTTCAATCTCAGTGAATTTTCTTACTGTTAATATTTAAATGGCATTTTTTTGGTTGGTTAGTTGGAACTAGGCCTCATACTCGGGGCTGTGTATGTGGTAGGCAAACAGTCCACCCCTAAGCTACACTACAGCACTAGGTTGTGATCTCTAACACAACTTTAATGTGTATGTAAAGGCTGATTTCAATTTAGAGGGAAGCATGGAAAGTAGGAATAGAATGTTTCCCTGTAAAGGTTTTATAAAACATTCTCAGCATAAATATTCTGAATGACCATAAATTTTCTGAATATCAGCATGGTACAGCAAAATGATTATTCATCTACTGGTCCTTAATACTGCTGATGAGCTAAATATAGATTCTTAGGAGCTTCGTAAATAGTAAGCATTTGACTGACTAAAAGAATATGTAACACACCTGATCCTATCTTTAGAGGAGTGCACAATGGCATATCATCAGTGTATCATACAAAGTGCAGAGTTGAAGATGATTCAGTCCTATGGAAATCGGGTATCAGGACAGCACGGTTGTTCTTCTCTGTCCTTAGAGTCCAGAGTATTTGCATCATTCACATTTCAAAGTGTACACTAGTCATTTTTATACACTTTTTCATTATACAAATTCTGACTCTTTCTTTGAAGAGAATACATTTTAAGCCTTACACACCCTAAATTCCAAGAATGTTTAAGGTTTATGAAAGGCTTGCAAAAGATGGTGGCATATTTCAGTGCTGGGAGAGATGTTTTTCCTTTGTTCTTGGAAAACACCTAAAGTATCCATATCATTCCATGTACAGGCAAAGAAAATAGTCATGGCAGTCATCTTTCCCTTCATGGTCTAGGTTTTTAATTGTTCTCT